GAAGGGAAAGGAAAAATGATGAGAAATGGAAAAAATGGAAATAAAGTCTTTGTAAATAGGGAAGGGTAGAGGGGGTGAAGGGAGGGCTAGGAATGTGGAAAAAATAAGAACCAAGATGCATCATGTAAAGGCACAAATTCCCAATGAGAAATATAAATGTGTTGTATACCTAAAATGTACCAATAAAAGAATTTAAGAAAAAAAGGGGAAAATATGTTCTTATTAATTGATAAAGATAAACCAGAGAACGTTTACCCAGAAGGGTTGGGAAAGGGAAAAAAAAGAGAGTAGAAGGAATATGGGAGGGAGTGAATCTTAGAAAAGATGGTATTTTCTGTATACTTTTGACTTCTGGAGGAATATTAATGTTTTTGTATAAAAAAAATAACAAGGTTGACAAAAGAAATAACCTAATCCTAAAAACACACAGACAGATTAACCTAGTGTATTTCAAATAAACAGTGTAACTACAGTATAAAGAAAGGAGTTGGGGACAGGAGAGAAAATTAATCCAGGTGATTTATGGAAATCTAAGATATGTTTGGATGCATATTCTTAGTTGTGTTGCAAAAACGTCCTGAACCCTACTGTCTAGAGTTTTTATAATCCTATGGGTGAAGCAATATATTTACGTAAGTAATTAAATATCTTGGTGCTGTTGGAAGCCAGAAATAATGCAGTGAATGTGAGATGCAAATACGAAATTGAAGAAGCCAAGGAAGAACCCAGTGGCAATGGATTTAGAGATATTGTTGTGAACTTGGAAGGATTTCTAAAATATGGATATGTATATGCGTATATAGTTACATATATGTAAACATACAAGCATGTATGTCCTACCTATCTTGAAAATATCTAGAAGGGGTCTAGAAGTAGTGATACCTCATTAGCAAGATTTGTAAGACACTCCTCAGTAAAAGTAACCAAGCTTCCCTCAGAAAAATGGCTGCTTTTTAAGGTCAGAGAAGGGAAGGTAGAAGGTGACCCTGGAGCATCAGATGTTGATAGAAAGTAAAGAAGTGCGTTAAAAAGAGAGGCATTTCATAAGGCGGTTCCTTAAAGGCATTCTCATGGGCTAATTTGGGTCAGTTTAAATACCAGATAGTTAAGGACAATAATGGATTATAACCACAGGAAGAAATATGAATTCTTGGAACCATACTGAAAAAATATATAAAGGTATGAGGGAAAAGGGAGGGTGTTTCTTTTCTTTCTTTTTTTTGGGGGGGGGAACCAGGGATCCAACTTGGAACCTTGTGCTTGTGAGGCAGGTGGGGGAACCACTCAGCTAAACCCCTGGCCTGGGAGAGTGTTTCTTAAGCAGAGATCACTGGTAAAGATGGAAGCTACGTTGGAATTGGAAAGTTTTTTACAACCATATTCGTAGTAAAAGGTTAGTTCAAGCAAGAGTCATCTCTAGATATGAGGTATAGGTGGAAATTTGGGTGCAGAGCATCATACTTGCATGGTTTTAAAATGTTTTTCTACAGCTTGCGTATATATTGCAAGGAAGTAGTAACCATACACTGGGAAAATGGGATAGTATGTTCACTGCATGATCAAAATTAACATCAATAAAAAGCAGATGGGTGGGGGCCGGGGATATAGCTCAGTGGTTTCGCCGCCTGCTGCGCAAGCGCAAGGACCCCAGTTCGATCCCCAGTACCAAAAAAAAAAAAAAAAAGCAGATGGAGTAGTCCTACCTATAGGGAGGCTAAGGTAGGGAATTTTCAAGCTTGAGGCCACCTGGGCAACATACTGAGGCCCTATATTAAAATAAAAATAAAAAATGCTGGGGATGTGGCTCAGTAGTAGAGCACTTGCCCATCACGTGGAACAAGGCCCTGTGTTCAATACTCAGTACAGCAAAAAAGAAAAATCTTAGTGAAAATGTTCTGCTCATGACAGTCACCTATAGGTAATATAATTTGCAAATGGTTTTCTTTGTATTTTCCTAATCTGTGTATAGCCCATGTGGAAACAAGAAAATTTGACAGTATTCATCATTTTTTAAAGTTTGAAGTTCTCACTGGACGTGGTGGTGCACACCTGTAATTCTAGCACTCAGGCAGCTGAGGCAGGATGATTGCCGTGAGTTTGAGGACAGCCTGGGCTACATAGTGAGTTCCAGGCCAGGCTAAAGTACATAGTGAGACCCTGTCTCACAAAATAAAAAAATAAAAAATAATTGAAGTTCTTAAGAGCTTTCAGTGACATCAGTTAGTCTTACTATGGGAGTAGCAGCTACTTATCTAGGAAAGCAGGGAAAGCTGGTAAGAGCTCTCCTCTCCTGTCATGACATGAGTTGTGGTCAAGGATTCTGTACTTGGGTAAAAAAAAAAAAAAGGCTGCTTCACTTTTGATACCTGCACTGATCACCATGTGCCATTGTGTCCCCTTCAGGTGCTGCACTATCTGGCAATCCAGAAACCTGCAGACCTTGCTCGGCACCTTTTACCTTGTGTGATTCATGCAGCTGTACTCAAGGTAAAGGAAGAAGGTAAATATCTTATTAATCATTAGTTCATTTCCAAAATGAAAGTGTTTTTGACGTAATTTAATGATGGCTTTTGATCTCTTTAAAATAGAAAGTCTGGAAAACATTTCTTCCGTTAAAAAGATTATAAGGCAGATCATATCCCATTCCAGTAAAGTTTTGCACTTCCCCAATCCAGAAGACAAGAAATTGGAAGTAAGTTTGATGTAGTGTCAAAATCTTGCCAAGAATTCACCCTACTTGGCAACAGTTACTTTAAAGACATGTTTTTTAAAGACTGCGTTTCTCATGTCTCTCAATGTGTGTCTCTCCCTTTTCCACTGTTAGGAAATTATACATCAGATTATTAGTGTGGAAGCCATAATTGCAAGAGCTCGGTCCCTGAAGGCCAAGTTTGGAACTGAGAAATGTGAGCAGGAAGAGGAAAGGGAAGATCTTGAAAGGTAATTGCTATTTGGCTACCTCCAGTTTGCCTACAGTAGGAAAAACCACTTTAGAAATATTGTAATAAAATATTGAGGCTCCTTTGTGGTACTCAAATATTATTTGAAACAGACATTACTAAAGACAGAGAAATACTTAATTGTCCTATTGACTGCTATTCTGAGTTGCTACCAGGTGTTTCCATCCTTCCCTCTTTCAGACACACTGTACCAGGGCCTTTCTAGAGCTGCCTTTGCTCCTGCAGCCTGGAGGAGCTGTCAACTGCATTCTTCACCGTGCCCCCAAACATGGCACTCAGTTCCCAATTTCCTTTGGCCATAGTATTCAGAAACTACAGTATCTGCATGCTATACCTAGTTATTTATTTTATTTTGAACGATATTTGTGATAGCAAAGGTACTCATCCTATGAACCTTACAAATACGTTGTAAAAGAATGACCACATGGCTCCTTCCAGATGAGGCAAATGATTGGAGCAGGGAAGGTTTCCATATTTATGAGGCTTGACACTGGTGCCCCTTTCTTTACCAGTGGAGCCTATGTCAGTGTGAAGCTGTCCTCTTTTTGCTTGACTTGATAGTGTTTTAATGTGTGGAAAAGTGTTTCCAAAATAGCTTGTTTGGTGCCTTGAATTTGTTACAATTTAAACATTTTCATCAGCTTTTCCATGAGAAAGGGCATTATTGATGCTAATTAATACCATATGACAAGGCATTTGTTACAGCTTTTAACAGGTTCTTGTTTGAATTTTGTATCTTTTGTTGAGTGAAAATTTCTCCCAGCCTACTTTGCTCTTGAAAACTCCTTCCTTTTAAGTGAGAAGAATAAGCTCTAATCAAGGGAATCATTCCTAAAATAGCAGCATGAATTAGTGAGCAGGTGGTGCAGTGTGGTGGCTCTGTGCTTCAATTCTTTAGTGCTTTGTGACATGCATGGAAGTACTGTGTTTCCAGCACATAATGGCACAGCTTATAAATGCAAGTTTGTCCATCAAACTATACATTTTAAGCACAAAAACAGCCCTTAAGAAACAAATATGGATCATAGCTTTGCTGGATAAATAAAACTTGGTTTCTATTGTACAAAAAACCATTTTTTGATCTGTTATTTACTGTAATGTTTTAAGCTTCTAGTACGAGACAAATAGACTATTTCTTATGCTTTGATAGAGATAGGCTTTCTTTTTTAAAGTACATAGTAGTTACACAGACTGAGTTTGTTTTGGCATACTTGTAGACACAGCAAAGATAGGCTTTTTTAAATGTTATGAATATAGTTGAAAGAGCAGTAAGATTGTCAGTTGAATTGATTGTAATTCTAAATGTTGTATCTACTCTATAAAATTTCTACTCCAGGTTTCATAAGTTTAATGAGTATCAAATTGAGGATTTGTCAACGAAATTCAGCTGAGACAATGGACACAGTGGCCTGAGCAGCTGGCTTTTCATCCTTTTGCTGCTTTTGTCTCCTAGGTTTGTGAGTTGCCTGTTGGAGCAGCCTGAAGTGTTAGTCACTGGGGCAGGAAGAGGACATGCTGGCAAAATCATTCACAAGTTGTTTGTGAATGCTCAGAGGGTACGTGAGATTCCTGACTGTATCATGATTGCTATACCTCTGCTTAGGAAGACACAGGTTTGAACCCCCAGATGTGACTCACATTACACAGCTGCTGAGAAGTCTAGGCACTAAAGAAACAATGACTGGGCCAGGGATTTAGCTCAGCAGCACAGCACCTGCCTGGCAAGCATGAGGTCCTGAGTTCAATCCCCAGTATGAAAAAATTTTAAAAAAAGAAACAGTGACTCGCTTCTGTGATTTTGAAACGCATTGGCTTTTCTGCACATTAAAGTAAAATGATAAGTATAAGTTACAACCTGACTTCCAGAAATTAGAAAGACCTGAAAGCTATTGTTACAGAAGCTGGCAGTTACTTGGTAAGCAGTAGCCAGAGCTATGCTCTGGGAGAAAAAAGTTTCTAAATGAATGCACAATTCAGCCTGAATTGTAAATCTAACTGGTCTTATAATGATGAAGAGATCCAGCTATAGAGATTTTCCTAGAAAGGAAGAGAAAGATTCTAGACTTTTAGCATTATGGAAACTTAGGCTTCAGCACAGAAGGAAAGTCCAATTAGAAAAGTTATCTTCATGTTTGTCACCTGATGCAGAATTTGCAAACAACAACAAAAATTTGCCAAGCACTTTTGCTTGCAAAACAAATTGCAAACAAAAGCATTCATGAACTAAGGTACACTGTATCTTGGTTACTGGTTAAGAGGGACTGGCATCCCACAGTTGATTCTTCTTTCAGGGCACATTAATCTAGGAATTCTGATAAAAGTATGATGTGTACAAGCCCAGGTTCCCCTTACCAGGAATTGTGATGACACCAGGAACCAGAACTCCAGGTCAGCTTTGAAAGTGTAATTTGTAGAACCAAATATGAAAAATTTTTTCACTTTCCTACATGTGGAATAACAATTTTTAAATTCCTGTCGAATTGGTCTGGAGTACATCTAGTTAATATATTCACAGTCACAGTCAAATATACTGATCTGCATTTTTAGGAAAGGCTGAAACCTGAGTTTATTTATGGAGTGGCTCCCTAATTTAAGAATCTCAAGTTTAAAAACATATTTTATTTTCTTAACAGACTTGTAGAAAACAGTAGATGGATGCTGTTTTGTTTTTGTCTGTAACATGAAACTAGGAATGGAGTTTTCATATCCTGTACTAATCTTCAGCAGCTCACCATACAGAAGCTAACAGGCATGTTTCCTTGTTAACCACTAGTAAAAATTTTCCTCATATTATAAAAACACTTTCCTCTTTGATAATTTTTTAAAGTTGTATTAAGAGGATTTATGCTTTTACTGGTGAGATTACTTATTTTAGATAGTTAATCAAAATTATATCCCCCATATTTGGGACAGCCTTCTCACTCCCCTCCTGTGTGTCAGAATTTCCTACACAAAAAATTACAAAGGAAAAAAAAAGTCACATAATCTTACCACCCCTGATGATCACTGTCAATATTTAACATCTAGTTAGATACAAATATATTTTATAAAACTAGGATATTATATAATTTGCTATGCTTATTTTCCACTTAAAATATCTTTCAAAGTCACTAAATATGGGAGTATGTCATCTTTCCAGTACATTATATGTCTAATGCCCTCTTATGACACTGAAATTATAAATTTGTCCCATATTATGTAATTTATAAAAAGACTTAAAACTTTCAGGCTTTGCACTGAATATTTTTAGGGAATTTGTAGACCCTGTCCTCGTAACAAGCATCTAGTTGGTACATTTTAAAACTCAGATCTTAAGTATCTTACTAATATAAACTAAGTTTATTCGTGTAACTTCATGATTAACTGATGCTTCATATCAGTTTTACTAATCAAGATTTTAACATTTTAAAAAGTTATGACTTTCACTGAGAATTTTTATACATTAGAACTTTTCTATCATAAATTGTAATAAACTTGATTATATATACTTTTAAGTGGAATTCCACAAAAATGATCAGATTTCACTTTACTCTTGCTATGTTGAATAATTTCAACATCTGTTCACTGGATTAATTTTTCAACCCATGCACACTTTTTAATTTTCAGAAAAAAGTGCAAGTTTTTGTTAAATCATTTCCTCACTAAGAGCCTGTGCATTACTTGTTGAACCATTGGATGCATGAGCAGCAGGATATGTCTGCTGTGCCTGACAACTAGGTGTGTTGTGTGTGGTGTAACCTTGTTCATCTTAAATATTCTTTTGATAGGATCATGTTCCTTAATGTAGTGCATGCCATCTGAGATAATCCTGCAATCTCTCTTCTCTTTTTAAACCATCTTGCTTGTTTCCCTTTCATCACTGTTTCTTTTCTCACCCTTTCTCAAGCTGACTGAATCTTCTGATGAGGTAACAACATAGCCTTTGTCCCTCATAGTTCCTTGCTCCTTTCCATCCCTCTAACTTCATAAGGTCATTAAAACTAACCACTTCTTAGCAGTCTGGATTTGGCATACCTTTCTTGCAGATGTTTAGCTTAACATGAGTTCATATTTCCATTGCCAAAACAATTACTCTTTTTCCAAAGTATTGTGACAGAAGTAATCAGAGTTAAAATGGAAGCTGTAATTGAACATGTATTTTGTACAATTTTAATGATAAAGTTGGTGCCTTTGTGAGAACAACTCTTTCGTGGCCATTGTTATATGGACCTCTGCCACATCTATCACATTAGCTTCCCAGCAAAGAAAACTAGTGCCACCAGTTTTAATTTGTCAAATTAAAAACCTTTTAAAAAACTGAAAGAGTTGAGATAAAAATCATCTTTCCAGACTCTGGAGAGAGACAGCTCTTTACTTGACTGAGGACATCAGCCTTGGACTTGGGTCATTGCTTATACAGAAACCGGTACAACAACATGATCCCTTCTCACCAGATGTCTGAATGTGGCCCTCACTTCTCAAAGCAGGTTGCCTGGTGGTCATTCTCCCTTCTCTGCCTGTTACCAGTCTAGTAGCTTATGCAGTGTTTCAAGCTTCTGCCATTTTTTTTCTTTTCCTTGAGTAATCATAACATATAGCTGACTGCATTACTGAGTAATGTAGGACATTTTAATGTATTTATCATGTTTATTCACCTGTCCTACAAAAGTACCTGAGTTTAGCATTCAACGTGCTTTTGAACTTCACATTTGATTTTGTTCAAGGCTGCAGCCATGGCTCCCCCAGAGGAGGAACTGAAGAGAACAGGCTGCCCAGAGGAGAGAAGGCAGAACTCATTGTCCGACTTCCCGTTGCCTGCCGGCCGGGAGCTCATCTTACGTACCACTGTGTCGCGCCCTGCACCCTACTCCAAAGCCCTGCCGCAGCGGATGTACAGCGTCCTCACCAAAGAGGACTTCAGACTTGCGGGTGCATTTTCATCAGATACATCCTTCTTCTGAGTCTCCTGGCATTATCTTGGCAGTGGCTTCAGAGGCAGCACTGCCTCCTTTTGCCAGGGAGACCCTGTGAGGGGCAGGAAGGGGCTTGTCACAGAACAGTCAGGAGTCACACCAGCACCATGGTCAGGCTTTAAGGTACCTTGTTGTGGGCAGGGAAACTGGGCTGGCATTAGTGAAAGATTCCTGCCGAGAGATGGCCTTTGTATAGGGAGCTAAATTCATCAGGAGCCCTCTCTTCACTGCAGTTCGACAGCGTTCATCTTACTCCTCTCTGCAACTCGATGGGGCTTTGTCCTTGCATTCACAGTCTGTGTACACACTTAGTCGCAGTATTAGTATCAAGTATGCAAAATAGAGTACTTGTCTACTCAAATTTCTAGGTATTTTAGTGGTAACTTCAAGAACCAGAGTCTGTTTTTAAATTACTACATGACTTTGTTTATTCAGTCACCTGGTGGTCATCTTTATTAAACTAATTAACTTTTGATGGACATTTGGAATAGTCTAGGAGAAAGCCTAGAATTTTATATAGTGTCTTTCCATGTAACTGCAGCCTGAATGTCTTCTGATAAAATTAATGAAATGACACATCAAATTAGTTATATATCTAGCTTGTAAGATTTGTTATCTCATCTGTTCTCCTTTGGTTGCCATGTAAGTTACCAAACTGCGAAGTGTTAATGCATCTCTGCTGTACAACATGCTCTCCCTCTTGGTGGTTGCTACTGGGTACTTACTGTATTTAATGAAGTAGAAATGAGCACATGCTAAAAATATAGCCTAGCTACATAGAGACTATCATGCAGTTAGTATAATTAGGCATACATGCTAATGTAACGAAGATTACTTTATTGCACTATCTTGATTTTTTTAGTTAAAATGAAAATAATCTGTGGGGATGTAAAGCACCCAGTATAAGAATAACAGCACCATATTTCTAGATATGTGAGGACTGAGGTGTTTCAAGTCTCTATTGCTCTACAGCCTCTGTTTGGTAATCTTAAATTATTTTTAGGTCTAAAATTCCCACCTTTAAAGTGAAAAATCATTATAATGAAGTGTAAATTCTTCCTGTGTAATTTTAAAGAAGTGATAGAGCTCTGCAAAACCCTCTTAGTTTTGTAAAACAAAAAGCTATACATATATATATACGTACATACATACAGGGTGTGTGTGTGCACACTTTTGTCTATACGTGGATAGGAAGGAGGGTGCTGGCCTCTCAGCCTTTATAGTACTTTGCTCTGAGACGCCGGACACCATTGCTCCTGCAAATCCACACAGATGCAGCCCTAAGGACTGAGTGCTGGACCAAGCAGGTGTTTGTCTTGAGGACAGAGTTTGTCTGCTTTCAAAGTGTTAATAACAGAAACTGTAATGGAGAGGTGGGATTTTAAAAGGTATCGTGAATCTAATAAAAAGGAAAGTGATGTTTCTGTGGCTAATTTTCTTTATTTTCTCTCCTGAGGGGCATTTTAGTCTTGCTTCACTTAGTTTTGTACTCTTCCTGGTCTTCATAAAGATTTGCAGCCTAGTAAGTAGGGAGTAGCTCAACAACATTCTTCATGCTTTTTTAAGGGCAGTTACCCCCTTTTTTCCCCCCCGGTACTGGGGATCAAACTTAGGACCTTCTGCTTGCAAGACAGGCACGGTGCCACTGAGCTAAATTCCCAGCCCTACCCCATTTTATTTTTATGTATTTATTTCATAGACATTTAAAAGTACCTACTAAAAATAAATAAAAGTGCCTACTTTGTATCAGGTACTGTACCAGGTGATGATGAGACCAAAAAACTACCACTGCACCCTCTTTATGACCTTCCTGTCAGGAGACAGAACACTGCCATGAAATGGCGAGCATAGGCGACTTCAAGGTGTGCACTGGAGGTCCAGTGTGTACGGGACACTCCATTTGTGCACTTACTAATGACACCAGGGAGTCATCTGTGTAGAGAAAGAGAGTTAGGGTGCCAGGAGACAGCTTTTCACTCAGGCTCTGGGGTCGGGAAAATCATCCCAGATGTGATTTCTGGATTGAGACCAGAAGACAAGTAGGAGCTGTGAAGTGTGGAAGTGCAGTGAGCTTGAGAAGCCACAGTAATCCCTTCCCCAGTGTGCTTGCGACACTGTTATTGTGCTCCTGCTCCTACCAGTAATGGGATTTCTGGACTCAGCTGTGCATGACACAGGGAGACACTTAAAAGTATGTGCCCTAGGGCTGCTGCCTACCTTGCAAGCACAAGGTCCAGAGTTCGATCTCGGTACCAAAAAAAAAGTTTGTGCCCATTGGGGCAGGAGAATACAGAGACCACTGTGGGAAGGAGCCTGCTATGTGGGGTGCTATGAAATTAACACTTTTGACTAGGGAGTGTTAACAAGCAGAGGAAGCACAATAGCCAGAAACGAGAAAGTATATGTTTGGGGAATGGCACACTTAAAGTTTGGCTGTAGTGTATTTATCCAGTGTGAGAAGGAGCAAGAAATAAAAATGGTAAGGTAAACTGCAGCAATATCAAGTAGTTTCAGGTAAGTCAGAGCAAGGAGTTTGGGCTTTATCTCGAGGGGAGTGTTGAGTCATGGAAGCTTTCTGAAAGTTGGTCAGGGCCAGAATCCTTCAAGCCTTAGGAATTTGGATTTGTTTTCTTAATTGAAAGGAAACAATTCAGAATGAGGAATTTTCTGAATGAGGAAGATGTTTTTGATGTTATGTTTGAAAAATCTGCATTGTGGCTACTGTGTGGTGTGCAGATGGCAGAGGTGGAGTGGACATAGTGGAGCCAGTTAGAGGTGATGGTTCCAACCACAGTGATAGTAGTGGAGGGAAAAGTGATCAGATTCAGGATATGTTTTAAGACAGGATGTGCACAGCTAATGGGCTTGACAAAGGGACTGTAAGAGAAAGTCGAAGATAACTCGAAGGTCTGAGGGCTGAGTAGACATGATGCCATTTACTGAAATGGAAAAGAGCAAGTAGTGATATGAGTAATGATTGTGAATCGGGACATTTTTAAGATACTCGTTGCCTGTGGTAACAGCTTTGATGGCTTCCACTGATCCCTGCCTCCAGCCTACTAGAATTCACACCTTTATGTAGCCCCCTAGATGCCCCATTGTACAACAGAATACAGAAGTGTTGGTATATCACTTCCACAGTTAGCTAATAAAAGACATCACAAGTCCTGTTTTGGTTCTCTCTTCACTCACCTTGGGGGAACCCAACAGCCAGGACACAAGCAACTCCAGGAGACAGCCCCATCCCAAACCACAGGGTGAAGGCTCCTGCCAGTAGCTACGACTGAGAGGAGAGCTTGGAAGTGGCTCCTCCCAGCCTGCAGGTGACTGCCACTTCCTGAGGGGCCGTGAGAGGAGCCACCCAGTTAAGCCGTTCCCAGATTGCTGACACTTAAACTGTAAGATGTTGATTTTTCAGAAACTAAATTTGTGGGTCATTTGCCATGCAGCAGTAGATAACTAACATATCACCCAAGTGGTTGCTTATGTAAGTTTGAAGTTTAAGGAAAAGGTTAGGGCTTATTATAAAATAGTACTTAAGACATGGACAGCCTGAGATCACCTAAGGAGTGATCTCAGGGCACAGCTCTAGGGATGGAGCCAGGGATGCAGGTGAGGAGGACTGGCAGAGGAGACCAAGGAGTAGCCACTGAGGTACAAGGGAAACCGAAAGTGTGATGATGTAAAAGCCAAGAGAAAAAATGTCACTAAGGTGAGAGCTGATCAGCTGTGTCCAATACCACTGAGACATCAAAATATTAAAAAATTGACTTGCACATCTGTGTAGAGCACCAAATGTGCTCAGAAAGGGGAAGATTTTTCCTGGGAAAAACAGAGAAGTGGCTGCCTAGAGACAAGACTGGTGTCCCTGCAACACTTCACTGGCTCTGGCAGGGACAAACTCCTGCCCCCAGCTGGTGAGGTTCTGGTTGCTGTACACTGTTCCCTGCTAGGAACTGGCAGGCAAGATAAGGAAGAGGGGATGATCGGGAAGCCATGACTGTGGGTTTCAGACCCACAGGTAGCCCTGTCCACTACCCCTACGCTATCTCCTTTCTTCTGTGCACACAGTAATGGACAAGGCCTAGTGCCCCACAAACCAGCAATTGAGCGAGTTAGCGAATAAATGAATACCTCTGGGGAAAGAAACCCACTCTTCCATTTGACTCTTTCAGCTGCCTTAAGTTTTGGCCACTGGGCACCGTGGAACTAGAACACTTCAGCATTAACTCCTGAAAGCCAAAGGGCTCCTGTAGCATTTCTTGTGCCCTGAGAAGTGGGGCTTGGCATCAGCCTGTGAAAGTGGACTTGGCTCCTTTAGACACAAACTAAAGCTGTTTCATGTTTGCGTAACTTCTTTGTAGAACTGGTGGTCATGGACAGATCCCTCAGTGATGAGTGCCACCTTCTGCTGGAGTGTTGTGAGTAGCTGGTCAGCTACTGAAGGAAGCTCAGTGTCACCTGTCCTTGGACTCTCCCAGGTCCTCTGATTCTGGGCTTAGTGGTGTGCAGCCTCAGCTGCTTTTGGCAGAGAACTTGATGCACCTCAGAGGCACTTCGCCATGTAGAATCCTTGTTTTTTGTTTAAATTTGCAGGCTTGTGGTTTTTTTTGTTTTTGTTTTTTCAGAGCAAGGCGGAGTAAATGTGTGAGGGAGACGGAGGGCTAGGCTGGCTCATGTTGGAGGAGCCAGTTGGTTTGACACTGGGAAAGTGAATTTTTGTCTACAGTACTTAGAGCTGTGACAAAAGGTATTTCCCGAGAGAGAGAAAAAATTAGCTGCTATATTGATTTCCTGGGGCTTCATAATAAAGCATCACAAACTGAGTGACTCATCACCCAGCTCTGGAAGATACAAGTCCAAAATCAAGCCCTTGGCAGGATGGGCCAGGGTCCCGCTGATGCCTGGAGGGAGACCCCCCTCGCTGCCAGTCTTAGCTTCTGCTGGTGGCCACAGCCCTTGGGTCCTAGCTGCTGGCACTCCAGTCTGTGTCCTCACATGAGCTGCTCCCTGTGTCTCCTCCCATGTTGTTATTGGGCTTAGGGCCCATCCTACTCCAGCACGGCCTCACTTTAATGACATCTGTCTGCAATGACCCTATTTCCAAACAAGGTCACATCCCAAGTATTAGGGGCTAGGGTTTTTTTTTTTTTTTTTTTTCTGGAGGATGTGGGATACGGATGGGAAGACAAAAGCCAACCCCTAAGAGCCACATTCAGAAGCCATCCAGCTGCCTGGATGCCCATCCAAAGCTGACGGAGGCCACGAGCCTCTGTAAAAAGCCCAGGCCTTACCTCTACAAAATTCCATCTCAAATCCCAGCCTTTCTTACAGCAGCAGATGCTGTGCTGTTATCTACTTTAAGCCTTCATTTTTTCTTTTCCTCTGCCAAACAGGGACAACTGTAAGTACCCAACAGACTGTTATAAAAATTCTTTAAAAGCCAAGCATGGTGCACATTTGGAATGCCAACTACATAGGAGGTTGAGGCAGGATTGCTTGAGCCCAGGAGTTTGAGGGCAGCCTGAAAACCAGTGAGATCCCTTTTCTAAATAATAAAAAACAAGATAATATTTAAAAAGTACTCAGCAAGATCCTTGGGTGTGTAATAAGTTTTATACACTGTGCTAAGCAGCAGAGTTAGAGACCATTGGGTGCTTAGTTGTCTGGATACAGGCTCCATTTTACTGTGAAGACCCTCTAGCATCCAGTGTCCAGAGAGAAGATGGCCCAGATCCCCCACCAGCTCATCAAACAGGAAGTCTCCTTGTCCTTGTCCCTGTCCCCTCCCCAGTCACAGCAGGCTTTATGGAATAAGTTACACCCAAAGGCAGAATCAGCTTTGAAGGGCAGTGGGGTTCCAGGAGTGTCATGCATTCCAGTCAGAGCAATGATCTGCACAGAGGTTCTGGGGCAGCGACAGTGTGACCAGAGCAGGAGTGGAGGAGTAAAGAGGCTTTGGAGGGTTTTCAGGACAGGGAGAGAACATTAAGACTAGATTACAACATTAAAAAAGCCACAGGGCCAGAGATTAGCTCAGTAGTGCCACGCCTGCCTGGCAGGCTCAAGGTCCTGAGTTCGATCCCTGGTACCAAAAAAAAGCTACAGCAGTGATTCTAGCAAGACAGGACCATGGCCTCAAGCTAAGGTTGTAACTGGGGAGAGGGAGAGTGTGACCTTGGCAGGACTTTCTAGGGGACCAGAGGTGGGCAGTGCTGACTGATGCCGAGTGCCTGGCCTTACAACCCCATTTGCACTCTGGTGGGACCTGTACTCTGCCCAGCATCTGCCAGGGGCACTGTGCTGCTGTCTACTGCTGTAGTTTGGACCTGGAATGTTCCTCCAAAGCCATGCCCTCAGGGGTGGGGCTTGTGGAAGATAGCTGGATTATAGGTGTGTGACAGCCACTTGCTGTTAGGAGGTAGGGC